ATTCATTGTAATAAGTCTTTTGACCAGATTTGTAGTTAATATATATGAACAATACTGTTATTCTGAAGGGACCTAGTCCCAGAATAATGATGATTTTTCTATTCTATTCTATATATATATATATATATATATATATATATATAGGTATATAAAGCTACCAAAACATTCAATTCATAGTATTTACAGTCTTATGACATGAAAAAATAGTCAGTTACCTCATACTCGTGAATTTTAAGCACAAAAATTGAATTTACGATTCAAAAAGTTCACCTCTCCCGGTTTTCCCGCTTATATCAGTGAAACTATGCGTTCTATCTACAATGATGTCATTTGTGAAATTAAAGCTGACAAAATTTGCAATAGAAGTGGTTTTATTAGTTTTTCGCTATATTTGTATAGTTTCCGTGATATCCGTTCTCAGAATTCACTTATCTCGAAAAAAATATGTGTTTTTCGCATTTTTATCATTATTTAACCCGCCAACTCTTTACTTTTTCATTATAAAAAAAGTGTCATATGGAAGAAAGTTGTTTAATATCAAATTTTCTTTAAGTATATATATATTACTTTACTATCTTATCTTTAACCATTCAAAGGATAGAACAATTATAATTTAATGAATAAACACCGAAACTATACAGAATAACTTACTTTTCGCAATTTTCGATATTTCACACCTTTTAATTTGTATATAAGACAACATACATGGGCTTACATAATATACACATATATACTGTCGTATGTAAACCTTAGTATGAAATATGAGACCTTTTTTTCCACGGGCTCTGAATGAATTTGATCACGCCCGACTCATTTGGAAAGGAATAAATCTTTTTTATTCCTTTAGAATGTCTCTCTCAAAATAAAGGGAGTCATTATTTTTCTTTTCTTTTTTTGAATGATTATCAGTGATTCGAATATCCATAAACGCTCACCGCATAAGGGTTTTAAAGAGCCATATTTTATAGGTTCTAAATAATAAAATGGTCTCCAAGCCAAATGAACATCGGCTGGTTTTTGTTGTTTTCCTTTATTTTTTTTTTTCCTTGCTGGTTCCCCATTTCCTAGGTTAACGAACTCGTGAATCGAATTTAACCACATCCTTCAGTTGGACGCAGGTCAACAAGTCACAAAAACGTTATGGTAGTTCTAGAATTGCACTAATTGTAACCGAATAATTCATTGTAAATTAATTATTCGGTTATCGTGGTATATCACCTAACCTGTGTGGCTGGCTTATCGTCATTATGACTTAAGTCTTTTATTTCGGACAAAAAGGCTCATAAAACGCTTAACGTTCAAGTGAGCCTGAAGTTAATGTAGCACCATTACATTTAAAAAGTTAATTAAAAATTAATAATAAATATACCATTTTTTAATTAAATTGTGTTTATCATTTTTGATTAAATTATATAAGAAAAAATAATACATAAAATGTAAATGTTTGTCGAGAAGATTACAGTGAAAGATGTAAATAATATGGGAATTCATGTAAATAAATAATCCGTGGTACAGACCCCTTTTTACCAAATTATTAAAATCCGGCTGAAACTTCGTAGATAGTTTCAGCTCATTTAATACTCAAATGTAAGTACTCAACTTGAATACGAAGTCGAGAAAAAAGGTGGCCTTTAAAAGTATTGAGCCGTTTGGCGTGACCTACACCCCCAAAATTTCAAAATAATGAGGTTATATAGGTCAAACGGATCAATATTTTTCTCGACTTTGTGCTCAAGATATCTTACGGTTAAAGTGGAAAACAAATGGGTATTTACGAGTTTTTAGTACCTAATTAAATAGACAAAGTTTGCCGACCCCGAGATTGAAAACTTCCCAATTCCGAGAGTTTTCGTAAATAAAATAGTTGTAGGTCACGATGAGACGAAGCTATTCACGAAGTTTCATGCGGGTGTTAATAATTCGATAAAAAGGAGTCTATACCACGGGCCAAAATAAAAGATGGTCTGTGCTCAACAAATCTTGTGTAATAAACCTATTTTTATGCAAACAATTAAAAACTGTGTGTGTTTTCCTTATCCTATGTTATTCGTTTAAATATATATTTTTTTATTATTATACAATATTTAAACGTGAAGGAAGAAAATGGTTGTCTTTAAATAAATTTAATTTATTTTAATCAAGAACTTCAAATGTGTAGTATCATTTAATTAAAGATTAAAAAAATATTGTTTTTGAAGAATCAATGTTTTCCAATTTGTAACTCTAATTTGATTTGATTTCTATTCCTTAAATCTTCATTTTTTAAAAAATAAAATTACTTTTTTAATTAGAAGAAAATTTTAATAAACTAATTTCAAGTATTATTTAATATTTTTAAAATAAATGCTGTATTGGAAGAATAATATCTCTCAGTTGTTGCAATTATCAATTTTTTCAATTTTATTTTTCCCATTCTTTAACTGTTCTTTTGAAACCTTTTAGCATCTGTTTTTCTGTTTTTGTCACTCTTTTTTTTTTTTTTTTTGTTCGATATAATCTATTTTAAACATAAAAAAAAAAAGTTGGCATAATTATTTTTCCCATTTATTGTGTCATTTATCTAGTACATTTCTTGGATTATTTTAAAAACAAAAACATTTCTCAACTAATAGCGGTAATTGTTTATTCTTTCAAGTCTCCCCTCTCTTAACTGAAGTCATAATTTGTAATGTTTATAATGTTATATATTTTTTTAATAAGAAATAGTTAGAAAGGGAATAATTTTTCGAAAAAAAAAGTTTTGTTCTAACATTTTACATATAAATATATATCTTCCTCAGTCGCTTGCCAAATGTGGAATTGGTGAGAATTCAAAAATTGCATTTAATCTATTCGCCTTAGTGGGAGTCTCTGTTCTTAATTCGTTCTAATCGAGCAGCTATCAAGCCATTACGACATTGTGAATCACCAATTGTGCAGTGGCTTAAACGTTTATGGTTTTAGAGGTCTGTTATCTTTTACCACTGTTTCTTCATTCAGTAGCAGTATTAGCCATTGTACCAAAATTACTGTAACTGTTTTATTGATTATTAAGGTGCGTTTAGACATTTCACAAACTATGGGACAAACAAATGTATAAATGGTTATTTCACTATGATAGCATTTTTGTGTCTTGTTTTTAATATTTTCCGCCTCAAGTACCAGTATCAAGAGAAATAAAATAAATATTTTGGTTTAGCAATGATTCGCTGTTAGCTAACTTTGATAATTGTGTTTCCCATAGTTTGTGAAATGTCTAAACGCACCTTTACTCGCTTTCTTAATCAAATACAGTGATGGTAGTGAGAAAAGATATTCATACTCAATATAAACCTTCACATCGTATTTACAGAAAGTATACATAAATTAATTTATAGCAAAATAATAAATAATTATTAAAAAAAAAAATAAATAAAGTAAAATAAAAATCTTAAACACAGTCATACTTTAATACAATCAACCAGGGTAACAACTGCAAACTATCTTGTGAAATTATTTTCATAGGTAGGTCGTAAAAGTAGGCATGCTAAAATTGAATCGAATTATTGCTTTAATTTTAACACAACTTAAAAGTATCAATTATTCGTTGACATTGTACATTTGTTAATATTAGAATATTGAAGTTTGATCAACAAATTTGTTGTTTAAAATTGAAGTTTTTAGTTGAAACTTTCATTATATAATTAAAAGCCTATCATGTCTTTTTTTACTTTATAATGTTTTATTTATGGTCTTTTACGAATATTACTCTTCACAGTTTTTTAGTTTTTTTTAAATGGAAAAGTGTATAACAAGACTTGTTTCACATGTTTTGTTCCATTTATACGTATATTGTATATGTAAGTAAGGATACTCAAAATCATATCTGTCAGAACGTAAGATAATCAATGTTGTTACAGTAGTGTAATAATGCAAAATTATGTGTTATTTCGATAATTATTTAGATGAGGCCTAAATAATAACCGTTATTTTGCTCTAAAAATGCAAAATAAGGTCCTATTATAACTATGCTGGACTTGAACTAGATCGTATCTTACGATTTGCTATGTGTGCGAAATTTAACCCATTCATTTAAAAAACTATCATATAATTCGTAAAACAAGGATTATTTCTAAATAACAGTTCAATATTTTTAGTTTTGAAACGGAGCTTTACTTCGAACGCATTGTGTGTCATTGATTGTGCGTCAGTTACTGAAACTAATTCTTCTGAACGCTCTTCAAAAGACAGATTCGTTTCCTGGCTTATTAACTTTCGTTTATTAACAATGGAACTACTTTCTAACTGTTTCTAACTGAAAGAGCAATAAAGATACCAGAATTGTACAATGACTAATGGAGGAATGAAAAGTTCCGCTTTTTCATAGACAGTTCTGCAATCAAGCCATGATAAATACGAAGGAAGGCAATGTATTAAAAATACAATTAACTCAAAAAATCGATCAATATGCTATCAAAACATTTGTTCCTGATAATTAATCAATAAGATCCTATTTTCTTTTACTAATGTCTGTAGCTTTTCATCCTCAAGTTAGTTTATTTTTCAAATAAGTCTTATAATAAATAGAAAAAAAAAATATTATGAACCAGACAAGAGAAAAAGGAAGCTATCTTTTTTACAATCCTCAGAAAAATATTGTGGAGTACATATTGTTATCTTATGATAATTTTACTGCTTATTGTGATATACAATAAGTGATTAATTCTTATTTCTTCACTTAGTATAATATGCATATAGATTTTTTTAGTCAAACATTATTTTTGTTATTAATTAGTTTGAAAAAAAGAATGATTTAAATCTCTATACTTATTAATAGTAATGTCTATAATTATATATTATATATTCTATTCTTTAATGCAATTGAAATGACATTTCAATAATAATATAATTAATTACCTAACTGCTGAATTATTACAGTTAAATCATAAATAATAATGTGTTTCTTGAAACATATTATGGACAAGAATTTTTATTTTTTTACCATTAAACAATTAATTATATTTTATTTTATTTTGTTACAGCAAACCACTTGCATCCACCGCTGTTCTCTGGCCTCTGGGTCCTTACAGGATTGTTGGTGTTCATAATTGTGGAAAAATTGTTTCAAAAAGAACGCCCATCAGAGGTGGAAGAGCCGATGAACAACAATGAGCCAAAAAGCAAAAGTTCGCCTAAAGAGGTATAATAATTGATTTTTAATGGCAATTTAACTTTTATTAGATGAAGATAGAATTCATTTATTATGTTGATTTATAACCTTGAAAATTACCTATAATAGGAAAAATATAAGCTTAATTTTTGTTAATACCTTATTAGTAGTTAAGGAAATATATATATATATATATATATATATATATATATATATATATATATATATATATATATATATATATTATAATAAGCAAAGAAAAATATACATTAAAAAAAAGATGCATCATACACTTGTCTAAGGTATGAATGCAACAACTGCACAGTTTATGTCTCGGCTTTCCATACCAGATATAAATTTTAGTTCTAATTCATTTTAACCTTATTAATGTTATTGTCAATACTGATTAACAGGGTACAGGTCACTGAAAGTTTCTCACGTATATAAAACTGACCAATTGATAAATAAGATTGTTGTGTTTTTTTATCAAGTCATATATGAATAAATCAAATTTGTAGTCCCATCACAATGTTCTTAAAAATAAAATGTTATATTTAATCAAAACTTATTTCACTTTAAAACAAGAATTGAATATTGAGACTGTTTGCAGAAGTTAAACTGTGACAATATGGGTTATTTTATTATTTTTGTTCAAAAATTGGCAAAACTAATAAGGCTGATTCAACATTTTCAATTATAAATTTATAATCATAAACTATAAATAGAAACTTTGGCTTAATTTAGTGATGTATAGTTTTTAAATCCCAACAACCTAATGCTAATTAAATTCGCTTAGAAAACAGAAATCAAATCATATTTAATAGTATAGATTAATGCAACTGTATTGTGGAGATATTCATCTCGATTCTTTCAATTATCGAGAAATCAATTCTTGATACAATGTGGCGCTCCTAATTGTTATTGAGAGTGTTATATTTCATTTTATAAAGTGTTCATTACATTTTTTCTGTCAATTATTTCCATTATATCAAATTACAAACACTTCAAAAATCCTCTTTTAATTTTAAACTTATTTAGGGATTTCCAATATTTCAAAGATCATAATTTGATTTTATCTTTCTATTTGGTTTGTTTGATTATTTAATAACAGAGCTTGGTCAACGATTTCAATATTCTCGAATATAGCGTAATTAAAAAAAAAAGTCCAATACTTTTGTTTTTTAAATGGCTATGGCTTTTCTACAAGTGGGAGTTATTATATAATATTCAATTGAAGTATATACATGATAAGTTATCAGTTAAGATTACTATTTAGCAAATTGATTGATTAATGGTTTGTATTAAAAATTTCATGAATAGAAATACGAATAAAATTTCCTCCCTGTTTTTATTGAAACCCCCTTTGGAGATAGATGTTTTAATAATGATAAAATATGAATCGCCTACAGATCAATACAAAAGGACTTGTCCCAACTTCAATAGCTAATATCCCTCAGCTCATGAAGGGTAAGAGGGGGAGGGTATAAAAAACTTTAAAATTATTTAAGTGAAAGTTTATTGCTGTTTAGCCAAATTTATTGTTATTTCGACTCTTTTATTTGGGAATCCATTGCAAGAAATTAGGAATATCTTAAAGGTTATTGTTTTAAAAGTTGTCTTGAATGTTAAATAATTATAAGTTTTATAAATCTGCTATATGAGCCTTTCAAATGACTGAATGACTGACTCCAGTTTCAACATTTTTGAATATTGATTTTAGTGATATTTCTGGTAGGAAAATTTTATACCTTTATTCACTGTTCTATATTTCAACATTCATTATATAATCAACTTACTCGCTCTCTGTACAGATATCATAAATTTTCCAAGTAAAAATATCACTAAAATGACTTTACTCAAAAATGTTGAAATTGGAGTTATACATTCTATCAACTGAAACGCTCATATAATAAATTATTAGAGAAAAAGTGTCCAACTTGTGTTGACAACTTCATATTCAAGGAAGTAAATTGACTTCAACCTTTAAAATAAGTGCAAAATTATTGTATTCAAACGCTCTTTTGTTAATAAAACTGAAACTTATTTATGCAAAATTTTATTATCGTATAAACAAATTTATTGTCATTTTGACCTTGCTCCTTGGGTTTCTGCAAAAAATTGGACAGAATATTATTGACCTAACTTTTATTAGGTCATTCCAAAAGTAATGTCGGTAATTAATTGTATGATATAAGAGATAAGCATGATAAATACAATGAACCTCTTCCAATTTAAAATGTATTTACCATCTTGTTCTATAACAGTTTACCACTTTGAGACCAAATTTTTTATACCTTTCCTGAAAAAATCCTCTAGTCTTGAATTAATGAAAGCCCATACCTCGTTTTTCACTTCATCGATCGAATTCAAGTTTCTGCTGCTTAATGAGTTTTGGGGACTAAAAAAAGTTGTTAATCTGAAGGTGCTAAATCAGGAGGATATGGTGAGTGAGGAATAATTTCCCACCTAAAGTCCTTCAATTTTTATATTATTTTTCAACTTATTGTTATTATTATTATTATTATTCAAGAGTTATTGTCATGGTGGAATAAAAATAGTACAGATCTTTAGTAATAGTTAGGTTAAGATCAAGGAATTCATCATAAAGAATTTCTGACATTACCCACCAGACCGACACATTACTTTTTTGGGATAAAATCGTTCTTTTACATTTTTGTCGTTGTTTCTCCAGGACTTCATTACTGTCGTTAGTTAATGACATTTTTTCCATATATTTTTGCAGATTTCCGATAAGTTGAAGCAGCATTTTCTCCTTTATCGAATTTCCTAAGTATAAAATGGCATAAGTGGTTTTGGGGGAGATATATTTTAATTGAAATTCCAGCACAGAATATCTAACTTTCTCCAACAAAAATAGAACAGTATCTAATGGTATAATAAACAAAATATGTAAACACAATTCAATTGTAAAGGAGGGATTAGTAACTTCAACATAAACAGACAGAGTTTTAAAAACCGACATTACTTATGGAATCACTTGATTTATGTTATTGCTTAATAACCTTTAAAAATTGCTTTTTATTATTATTATTATCTTTATTGTCATAAAAACCTACGATCATGGTGCAGGATTAACTTCTGTAAAATACATTTAGAATAATTGTGGTCTTAAACCGTTTCTACCTTAATATTTCATTATTTCCCTCGTCTCTACAGAAGATTTTTATTTATTTGGCGATATGCTTCTTATTTGCTCTTATAATTTTCAAGTTAGCTAACATTTTGCACTAGTATATATAAACTTTGACTATTCCTTATCTTTGGGTTATGAATGTGTGCAACTAAATTCAGGTTAAAGCAAACTTTTTATTCTTACCAGTTACTGAATTATTGTTTATGATTTAGTCATTGATTATGTTTTTCTGTTATAAAGATTGGAGGATACCTAAACTTAATGGCAAATGTGATAGACAACTTCACTCATGGGCTTGCTGTCGGTGGTTCCTTTCTGCTCTCTCTCAGGATTGGTCTGCTTACCACTGCAGCTATTCTTATACATGAAGTAAGAGTTTTGATAATTGTTAGCACAATAATATTTTGGTTGGTCAACAATATTGTTTCTTAGAGTATGAATATTTTGTTTTTATATTAATTATAACTAAGCATTTTATAATAGTTAAAACAAAATTATTAAAAAAAAGATATGTTAATAATAATAAGGCTTAACGAACCCGAAGGTTCGATGTCGATACCACCAATCGATATTCTTCCATCCACCATGCTCCGTCTAAACCTAACCCCACCAGATCAGCCTTAGCGCAATCTTCCCACCTTCACTTTGGTCTACCCATTGGTTGGCAGTCGGTACAGCTCATATTAACTTTTTAGGCATTCTTTTGTTACTAAGCCCAGCGATTTTACATGCTCATTTTATTCGCCTCAACTTAATCATCTCAATTATATTAACTGGATACAGTTCACACAATTCAGCATTGTGTAAACGCCTAAATGCTCCGCTTGACTCGTCCTTTTTCGATCCGAATATTCTGAATAATACTTTATTTTCAAAAACCTTAAGATGTTGCTCATCCCTTAATATAAGCGACCACGTTTCGCTTCCATAAAGTACCGTAGGCAGGATAGTGGTTTTGAAAATTCTAATTTTTAAGTTTCGGGACAGGAGACAAGAACTAAGCAGTTTTGACAAAGAAAAATAACAAGCATTTTTCGCCTTCAACCTAACCTTAATATCCTCTTCAATTTCATTTTTTCTAGTTATCGTAGACCATAGGTACCTAAACTTCTATACGTGTTCAAACACATTATCTTCTATATTGATATTGTAATTGTCGCTGTTTTTGTAGCTAACCATATATTTTGTCTTATCCGTATTTCTCTCGACTGTTAGTTCTTTACTGGCTTTCATCAACAACGTTATTGTATTTAGTTTTATTGTTTCCATGTCTTTGCTTAACAGTACCAAATCATCTGCATACCCAAGCACGGATATTATTCCACCCAGGTTCAAACCTGTTTTGGTATGTATCACCTCACTAGTGGCATGTTCTAACTTCGAATTAAATAAAACAGGGAGAAAGAGAATCATCCTGTTTTAAGCTCGAACGAACCTCAAATTTTTCGGATATATAATAACCGATAACAAATAATAAACAATTTCGTGTTTGTGATTCTGGTGATGTCTAAGCTGATTTAATGTACCTTTTTATATTTGAAAAAATATATGTTTGATTTGAAAAATAAATCTTTAGAAAAATAATTTCTTATACTCCTTATTTCTTTGACTTACTAAATTCGTATTGAAATACATTTATGAATATTAAAATGTAATATAATTGGAATTTGCAAATATTATAACTGAATTTTTTAGTTTGAATTATTCCATGTATTTAAAATACTCTTTTGTAGGTTCCACATGAAGTTGGAGACTTTGCTATCCTACTGAAATCGGGTTTCTCGAGACTAGAAGCTGCAAAAGCTCAACTTATGACAGCCTCTTCCAGTTTGGTTGGAGCAATGACAGCTGTAGCATTCTCTGGGTCTAATGATCTCATAAGTACGATATATAAGTACATTTAATATTTTAGATTTAAGAAATTAATTTTTCTGTCAGAAGGAAAAATCTTGAACCCCAACTTTGTAGCTATTTTAAGCTTATGTTTTAACTAGCTATAATTATTTATTAGTATTAATCATGAAAAAAATTAAAATTAATTTATACTTTGTCATATTTGATAGCTGAATTAGTTTCCGTTGTACCAGTAGTTGTGGTTCTGTGCTTGCTGTATTCTGATTTCATAGCTACCTTAATTTTGACTACCTACACTGAGCCATTACTTTATGTTAATGGATTCTCATCTGTTCTTCATTAATTATTGTGATTCCATTAAAACGTAAAAATGAACTAAATTTATTTAGCCTTTCTAGCTGAGAAAAGTGTGCAGGATTTAATGCAAAGAATTTTTGTTTCCAAAATTGTATGTATGTGTGTTATTGTTGCTCATAAACTCAAAGTCAAAATATTGGCTTAAATTGTCAGTTGAATCTTGGTTCAAAATCTAACTATTATAAAAATATTCCACTTTTGATGGATTTAGAGTCATTATGGATATGCAGATATCCATAGTTCGGTCTCCTACCAATGAGATGGCTGCTCGTATCCATGGTATATAAATAATTCTATAGTAAAATAGTTGTATAAATAATAGTTTTCTTGAGCCTGTAAACTCAAGATATATTTCACTCACATCTCTGATCTCCTGATAAGATTTCCTTTATATTTTTTCAGGTATTTTCAATGCTTAATTTCCTCATATTTTTCAAATTATTTAATCCGAATAATAAAGGAGAAAATTTAAACATTCAGTTACCATTTCTAAATAATAAATTTATTTTTTAGAAATGGAGTTTTTTTTTTAGAATGTCTCCCAATAACATAGAAAATATATGTAATTCAATTATTTTTCACTTTGAGAATATTTATCTGGAAAGGAATGATTCCAAAATAAAATAAAATGTGATGGTTTTGCTTCTGAAATGTTTCTTTGATTTCAGAATTCTCTCAAGCCTAGCAAGTGAAATTCATTTGATGATTTACTTTGTTATTACTTCAATTCCGACTATAAATCTGATTAAAAGAAATAGAGAATCGAATTTCTCAAATGCATTTGTTGCATCTAATCTCATCTATTTTTTATTAATTGATGCTCTACCTGTTATATAATATTAATTTTTCTTCATCTTATTTTTCAGAACAAAAAACATCTTGGATCCTTCCGTTCACCGCAGGTGGCTTCCTCCATATTGCCCTGGTTTCCGTTCTTCCAGAACTGATAGAAGAGACCTCGCCAAGGGAATCATTGAAACAGCTGCTGTCGTTACTGTTAGGTATATCTGTGATGGCAGCTCTGACATTCATTGTCGAGGAATAACTTTACTGTTAGAATTACCACCTTTTGGGTAATCAGCCTCTTAACCCCTCCAGAGAGCGTGTGATGCTCTGATATGTACAGATTTATTTTAGTTCGAGGTATAGCTCAGCTTCTGATACTCTGAAGTCTTATTAGTTAAGATATTTGTTTTGTTTTTCATTTTAATTTTTTCTGACTATTGGTTATCAGCTTTATTCAAATATAGGAATTTCACATTGTGGTAGTATTTTTCTGTGAAAGTTACGCTGTTTTGTTTATATATATATATTTATGCATATATATGCAATCCATTGGCCATTTGATATTTTAGGACAGATTTTCTCTATTATTTTATTTGTGATTAATATTTAAACATATGAAAATTTTCCTATTTTAGAATTAATCTAAATTCTAAGTTCTTTCCAGTGTGCTTTAACAATATTGTGATCTATTTGCATTAGTTATTGTTAGTTTATCATGATTGTTTAGGTTTTCTTTCAGTGTATAATTTATGTTTATAAATATTGATATATTTTGTTTAAGCTATTTTTTGCTTTTAATCATACTTACAGCTTAAATTGCAGACATTCTTATTTTAAAAATTTTGGTTGATACTAAACTCTCTCTGAGATGAATTTATCCTTCCACCTTGTTTATAGAAAATGTGTATATGTTAATAATTATTCATGAAATTACATAATGTTGTTGATGAATTACTATTATAAAAAATATATTGATTTTTTTTTTTCTAAAAGAGAGATCGTATTTAAAAATATATATTTAACTACTGATATTGCATGAAAATTGTAATTATTATCAATTAAAATCAGTGTTTAATATTTAGTATAACTAGTATTATGCCGTGATAAATATAATTGTACTTGAAAATAAATTTGTTATTGGATTATTACCTTAGAATGTAATCCTTCAACATAGGTTCAAATATTTAAAAAATACAAGTTAGTAAGAGTAAGATTATTGGGCATTAAATGTATAATAAAACTATTATCTTTATATCTTAGTATTGATGTATATATATTTTTTTGTTTTGCATCAATTGTAACAAAGGATGATGGTGAAAACTATATAATTGTTAGTAATGAATACTTGATGGTTGACCGTGGTATATTATTGAGTAAGAAGATGGTCTGAGGTGACATTTTTATGACTGCCACCCCGGACTATCTTCTTACTCAATAATTATTAGTAAGTTTGTTGTTATTTCAAATTCAATTTCTTTTCTTCATTATCAGCTTGATTTTTTAGAATGTCAACAAGTAATGAAATTGTAATAAATTTACGAACTGATGAATAATTATTAAAAATGCTTTTCTGAGTATAAGGTATGATTCTGTTATGAAGAGGGCCCAACTATTGTGTTTAATCTTGTTTATAATGGGTGCTACAAACATAGCCAATCCTTGTGATTCATATTTGTTTTCTGTTCGAATATTCTTGATTGCTTCTCAAGTAGTAAATTTTTTTATTGTTATTTATTATTCCTTTCAAATACTGCTTATCAAAAGATAAATATAGAAAATTGATTTTTTGTTCTTTTTTTTATTTAAAAAAAATAATATGCCTATTATCTTATTTAAAACAGATTTCTTTCAAATTGTATATGTAGTCGGTGTTTTTTATGTCTTATTATAACTGCATTTTTCTTCAATTTATAAAGTATTGTACAATAGAACATCTCTTGTTCATCTTAGTTGGCAGTAAGACAGTGGGCATAATTGCAAACATGCAAATAAATTCCTTTACTGCTGTCAAAATTTGTTAAATTGTTGCATTGATGATTTAGTTATTTGTTCTATAATTTGTACTCCAAAAAGTATATGGGGTATCAAAGACCATTATTGAATCTTTTGACTTACACGATGTTATATCTATAACAAAAACATATCGGGAGTGAGATATATGTAAAAAATTTGGTCTTGAGATATTAGCGTTATTTCCATTTTTTGGTACATATTGAAAAGTACTGTTGACTGAGAGCGAAGCAATGAAGTCACCTGTACATTTATACGACTGACAGGGCTTTAAAAAGTGGCTAAAGTGGCTAGCATTATGATGAATGTTGAAGGATTATGAGGCACTTAAACTTTTTAATTAGTTTTGGGTTTATTACTACCAAAGATAGATTAAATAAGTGAAAAGTAAACTGAAACTATTTTGAAAATTAATTTTTATAAAATGTAAACTTTATTTAAATGGCACCGTTCATAAAAGTTATTGTTCAATAAATATTTTCTGATTGTTATATTTAATCTATAAATGTATAAGTACACTTTATTATTCGTAATTAGGTTTCCAACAAGTTCTTCTAATGAGAATAGTTTTTTTTTGTCACAGATTGTTTTTTTTCATTTATCCTATATTTCGGCCTGAACTGTATTATTATTATTAACTACTCTGTTATTTCATATGATGTTTAAATAACAGAAGATACATTTTCATTTGGTCATTGAAAATTCATGTGTTTTAGTAATTAATAAAATCGGAAGTTATGAGTGTTGTAATTGTAAAGTCAGAGTTATATTTTATATAAAATCAAAACAATGATTAGATTTAGGCTGTATGTGATAAAATGTATTGTGAAGATAACTATTTTTATTTTGTAGTTATTACCACTAGTGTTATCTGTATATTATTAGGTATATTTTTTAAATGTTCAGTAGTCATGAATTTATGAAATTTATTTTTCATATTGAATAACACCTTAGGCATAGATACTATGCATATTTTTTACTTTTTCAATGTATACCTTTATTTTCTGAATAATATTTGAAGTTATTTTTTTGTAAATTGGGATGAAGGAGATTGTATAAATAAATGGTGATGAAAATATGTACATAAATAAAATCTTTGTTATAACAGTATATGTTCATGTTATGTATATATTTTAGCATATATTATTACAGTGATAAATAAATCATATTTCAGTAAAAAAAAAAAATGTTTCTATTATTTTTCCTATATATCCACTCAAATTTTCAGCATATCAGGACTACCTCACCTATGAGTGAGGTAAAATATATCAATTTATTAGTGAAAACTTATTTGTTCATTGTGTCATTTATTGGGTTTAATGTCTTCATGTATTCCAACGGGGGTGAGAGGGATGTTGTGGGAGAATTTCAAGTCTAACTAGAATGAGAGATAGCAAAAGTAAACCTTCACAGCCTGGATTAAAACTGAAACCACTTCTGACTGAAGCTAATCGGATGCTACCTGAACATGCTCAGTCTCTATATCCTCTTTATTTTTTATCCAACATCACAACTTGATTTGAAAATTTTATGATTGTCATGAGATACAGAAGCAATTAATATTTTATACTGTAGATGTTGTTCATATAATCTTATTTATTTACTCTAATGATTAATTCTAACTTAACTTCCATAATAATATTAACTGATAATATAATATATATCATTATAAATATACTTAACAGGATTTACATTATAATAAAAGGCATAATACTTTTTTATTTTTTAATCCAATTGCACCACACTACTTTTAACAACCTTAAATGCTTCTGTGTGACAAATAAAAATTAAGAACCACTTACTTAGAGATTGAGGAAGCCATTGGAAAGTTTTCTACTTAGGGATGGCCATCGATAGTCGATATTATCGGAATATTGATGTTTTCCTATGCTAAGTTTTTTTTTCTAACGATCAGATTCATATATAATTTCTAGCGCTTTCTGAAAATGATAGTTTTGATAAAATTTTAAAATTAAAATATCAAAGGGACAATATTGATAGTCGATAATATGGGGTAGATACTATCGATGGTAAAATATCGAATATCGGAAGGTAAATATTGATATTTAGATAACATCAGATATCAATGGCTATCCCTATTTTGTTCCCTGCAGTACTCTTTCTACTGACAGTGACTTAATGTAAATTGTTTTATGGCGCCCTACATTTTAATTTTCACTCATAAATTTACTTAATATTACTTCATATAATTAATATATAAATAAATTATATTTAATAAGATCTTACTTATTAGATAACCATGAAAAATTCTCTTAATGTAGATTTTAAGCAGCTATTTGATCAGTTTCTCTTACTTTTCTCTGTCTTACAAAGTACTAGTATTGCTTTATTTCCTATTTCAACTATTTTCTATCTTATTATATATTCCTTGATAAAACTGCAGGAACTTGGTGCTATGTTTATGTTGTTAATAATTGGTAACATTTAATAATAGTTTCCTTTCCTATTCGAAGCTGATAGAATGAGAGTTTATTTCATAATTTTAAACCTTTTTTTATCAGAATGGTCAACAAAAAAAATATTAATGAATTTAAAAAAACAAAACAAATATTGTTAAAAAAAAATTCATCTCCTGAATTCTTCAATTGTTTAGCTGTTAATGACTGAATCAGTATTTTAGTTAATTCTAAACTGCACTGTTTGAAATAATCATAAATTAAATTTAATATAATAGTATAAATTTGTTATTCTAATAATAGGTATAATTTGACTTTCAGAAAGCATAATTAAAGTTATAATATTAAATAAAAAATTATTTAATTTTACTAAATCATTATAAATAATATTATATATCAATAAATATTAAATATATAATGAGTAGATAGATATTAAATCAATATAAATATTATTAAAATTGAAGAAACTAATTAATTATAGAAATTCAATTACAATAAAACAAGAATTGTATATTTAATTTAATATTAAAATCTATAAAATTGTATTAATCAATGAAGATCAAAAAATAGTTCTACGTAGCGCCAATAGAGGTCAGCACCAAACGGAGGCAGATGTTTCTTCAAATTCATGCTGAAAATTTTCCATTTCATATTAGGAGATTAGGAGTTTAAAGGAGCTCAACTGCCAGGTCCCTTACTTAGGCTCGATAGTGCTGGTCTCTAGCGGCAGGTTTTAAAACCGTAAGAGTTGAACAAGTATTGACTTATCTGTTGAGCTCCTTTTAACTCCTACTGTCCTAATACAAAACAAAATTTTCTCATTGTAGAATCCGATGTTATTAGATACCTGGATTGTGCTGCTCTCTGTTAACACTAACTAGAATTTTTCATCTTTTTTGACATATGCTTTAATCTTTCCTTAATTATTTTAACTAAATCGGCTTTCATCTAATTATTTATTTTTAATATTTTATTAAATATTAAATTAGAAATGATCTAAGATAATTAGAAATTATCTTCTATTTATTACTTTTGCCAGTGTCTGGCTGACCATAATTTAATTATGGTCAGCCAGACACTGGCAAAAGTAATAAATAGAAGACAATTTCTAAATATTAAATTCTTCAAAATAAAATAAATCTAAATCTTGTTGCATTCATGGATTAGAATACAATTATGAAATATTAGAGAGAACTATTCTGTTTTTCTCTTTCTGGATTTTTTTCTTACTTCTATGTTTAGACAGATATTTTACTAATATTTTAGCTCCCATAAATTCTAATTTTTTCAATTTAATCGCATTACTATTTATTTCATTGATCTGGATCAAAATGATATAAAATTGTTCGCATATATTTATTGGCATAGATAAATTTCATTCACATTTAGATGTTCTATGATTTAGATGCTTAGTAATTTAATGCCTTTGTGTATACATTTTCTCTTTATACAGTTCATTCAAGACTTCTTCTACTGTTTTAGAGAGAAATAAATAAAACAATATACTCATTGATAAATAACATATTGAACTTCTCATAAATAATCATGAAGTTATATAGATAAATGTGTTTATACTTAAAAAATAATAGATGGTTTTGTTTTTGACATAGGATACAGAACAATCCTATTAATCTGAACTTAAGTCGTAGCCTGAACATCTGAACCAAAAAAATTATAATAAATAATAATGGTAGAAAATCATTTCCTTCTCGATATGGGAAGGGTATCTGTCTGTTCTGAATATCTGATACAATTGTGATAATTTTTTGTTCATTAGTTCCTTATTGGTGAACTAAAATTTGAGATGCTGTGTATAACCAAAGTAGAAGATGATAGGGCAGATATTTTATAGAAATGTTATTTAGAAATAACTCATTTACTTTATTTATTATCTGATGGAGTAATTATCAAGTGAATCAATGATTTAATAATTCAATCAGTTGTTTAGTAATTTAATCTCTATCTTAAACAAATTTTTTCCTCCTCTCAAAGTTCTATTTAAAACTAACTACCATTACTTTTATTAAGAATATTTGACATTTAAGCTTGTTATTCAGTGGGATCCCTTAGAATTTGATGAAGAAAATGAAATTTGTTTTTAAATGATTCTAATCATGATTTAATTGGTTTGAGAAACAAATAAAATATACAATTTTATCTCTTACTTAAATTAACAATAAATTAACAATACAAAATGATAAAAATTTAAAACTTAGATGATGATCAAAATATTTCCGATTATAGTTTGGATATATTAAAAAATAAAAAATAAAGTTCTATAAAGTATTTAATAATTGCCAGTGATAATATAAGTCATTTTCATGTTAGAATTATTACTAAAATAGCCTCTTTGGTTTGATATTTCAACCTTATCAGTAACAGTCACTCTAACTTCCTTGATAGCGGCAACTCTTGTGTTTTACAATTTTGTTATTTCGTTTGACAGTACTATTATTAGTAAAATACCATAAATATGTCTTTAGCAATTGGTGCTTCAGCATCTGGTATTCCAGACAAACTCTGGCAACCTAAGTACACTGTTCTCGAAACCACGTAAGTTAATTTTTGTTTATTTATTTATTTTGTAAGCTGAATTAACATAATTTCGGATTGGATATTACTTCTTGTAATAATATCTTTTGTAATTTTTGATTGCCCTATCAATAATGAAATCCAAAATTACATAAAAACTGGATGTAAACTTTAATTTTATTTAAAGATGATCTTATTAAATACACACCACTATTTCCAGCACTCTTAGTACAAGTGCAATCAAAGTGATTTTGTTCTGTGTCATCGAGACGTGGAAATTATGATCTAGTAGTATAATCTAGAATTTGATTTGTTAGACTTAATTTTTATGAAGATTGCTTTTTAAAAGTATTGCTAATATTTTGAATAAGAATTTATGATGCACACATTGTATTTTGTTATTTCAGAATGGGAGAAATAACCATAGAACTATATTGGAAACATGCTCCTTCAACTTGTAGAAACTTTGCTGAACTTGCCAGGAGAGGTTACTATAATGGAACCAAGTTTCACAGGATTATCAGAGATTTTATGATTCAAGGTGACATTTTTGTCTTTAATGTTTACTTTATTTTTACTGTAAATATTATCTTTGTGTATATTCTACTTACGCTATGCCAATATTTCATAACTATATTTTAATATTAGTTAAGCTATTTGTTGAGCTAATGTTTGATCTAACTACAGGTGGAGACCCTACTGGCACTGGAAAGGGAGGTGCATCAATTTATGGTCGAACGTTTCCAGATGAAATACATGAAGATTTAAAACACACAGGTCTGTGGAATTGTAATAAAAATACTGTGAAATATTTATGTAACAGAACCTAGGAAGCAGACAATTTTCTATATTTTTTAGCCTGTTGTACAGACTGCCCATTCATAAGGGATACATTTTAAATATATGAAATCTATCATTTTTAAAATTTTTTTTTTTAAACACCATGCAATTTTAGTACAAACTATTTCAATATAGATAATTTTTCACTGAAGAAAGACTTTACCAGTTCATACTTAAAAAATTCAATCATTTTTATGGTTTTTTGTAGTGTGAAGAATATATGTTAAAATAGGTTGGTTTCTAATTTATATTCATTTTTAGTTGTATAAGAAATGAAAGACAAATAATTTTTACCTTTTTATTTATGGGGACGATAGGTGTATAAAACTGCTTTTTCAGGATCTAATCCAAACCATAACTGCCGATGTCCAAATAAAGTTTATATTTTAACTTTTAATTAGATATTTTCAAACTTAATGAATAATTGATAAACCTAATAGAATCGTCTGTAGATCTAAATTGCAATACTCAAATGGTATAGATAATCTGGCAAAAATTCATTTCAATATCTTTTATGTTGTCTTAGGTTATAAAAAAAACCTAAGATAAATGACTACAACCCATGGAGGGTCTTGGGTTCAGTACTATTTAGAGAAAGCACTGTCTCCAGGATAATGGTTGTGCAAGGAGGTGATTTGACCGAGATCACGCTTGACCACCAGGTTTTCTCCTTAATTTATTATTTAATTAAGGGTACCCACTTTATAGAGGTTGGCTGTGCCCCAGGAGGGTCTCCCAACCCAGGGTCGCCCCACGGCCGATGAAACAGATAAATAAATTTTCTGCCATGAGTCGGGGTTCGAACCTGGGACCTTTAGCATTGGAAGCTCAGTACTCTACCACTGAGCCACCACACTACCTTATCTTAGGTTATTCTTCTAAAATTATTTTGGTTTCTCTTGATTTTCCATATATCCTACTGTTGTTAATTCTCTTTAAAACTTTTATTTTCTAGATAATATTTAGGTAAATAGTCCATAACTCCATTTACATTATATTTTAATCCTAAGGAATCTTATGTTCAACAAGTCCTTAGATTTAATATCCTTAGATGTAAGGATACTTTAAATGAAAATAAATATGTGTACTGTATTACTTGGATCTCTTGGCTTCTGATCCTTTGATTAAATGATTAACACACATTTAGCATCTATTTGATATTTTTAAACAATTTCGTGAAATCCTCTGAGTAATTAAGACCTTGTTGAAAACTTGTTTTACAGGAGCTGGTGTAATTTCAATGGCGAATTCAGGGCCAGATACAAATGGATCTCAGTTCTTTATTACCCTGGCCCCTACACAGTGGTTGGATGGAAAGCATGCAATCTTTGGTAGGTATTATAAATGTTACTGAGATTAATAACTAGTAAATATTACAACATTTATAATAGTGACTAATTAGCAGTAATTATAATTTATTAACACGGCCACAGATGCATGGTGCAATCTTTGACTTGCTCAACCTTCATCTGTTCTCCCTTGAAGTAGTGTGCCCGATGAAGATTTCTCTTCGTCATCTGTAACCTTTGCTCTTCTTCGAAAAGTAATTTAATTGCTAACCTGCAATATCCTTTTTTTCTCTAGATAACTTAATTGTCTCATGTCCTAGATAAAAATTGATTGATTGTAGAGAATTAGCTAATAACAAATCTATTCTCTCTTTCTTCCATAGAATCTAGATTTTCCGCTGTGTTTTATTAAACAAACAACAATTAAATATAGATTTTAAATTTTAAAAGGGTGCTTTAGATTTTTGAAATAGGGTTGTAAACTTGTTTATCATTAAATAACTTATTAATTAATTATATTTTTTGTTACCTGAATGTGTAACATTAATACTATTTCACCTTAATCATAAAATTTAAATAAGATATTTAATTAATTAATTTTTTATTAACAAACTTTCATTAATATTTTTTATTTCATTAATAGGTCTATATTTTTTCTTATCTTAAATTGCTTGCAGGAAGGGTGTATTCTGGAATGAACACTGTAAAAAGGGTTGGACTTGTAGAAACAGACAAAAGTGATCGACCTGTTGATGATGTAAAAATAGTTCGTGCCTATATTAAGATGAATTGACGCCTTGTAAATACTCATGTTTTTACTTTTATATATGAAAACTTCAAATAATGGTTTAATATGACAGTATGAGTTGTTTTAAGTTATGTATTTGCATGCATTAAAGAAGAATGTATGAAGTAAAAAAAAACTTGAACATCAAATTTTCTCTCTGAAAGAAGGTGAAAATGTTTTTTTTTTTTTTTGTGTATGTACAATAAAAATTGGATTTTAAATATATTTATTAATTTATATGTACAAATATATATAAATAAAACATGTTCTTAAGTGATTATGAATAAAAGTTTTTAAATTATTTTTATATTTCTTTTTTATGCCCCATATTTATTGAATTAATGTATGTATGAGTATAATTTTGTAGTTAATGGGTTAACAAAAAATAAATTGTATTTAATGTATTTATTGCCTTGTAATGTTTCACTTAAGGTCCTTTTAGACAGTCATGTCAGTCTAAAAAGCAAACTGAAAGGAGAACGGAAATGGAAACTGAGATTGACGTGATGGCTAGATGTTTCATTACAGTTCTTAAAATTCCAAGATATAAACAAGTGTGTCATGCCTCAGTCTGTTTGCTCACGTCAGTTTTCTCGAAAATCTTGTACAGTGCACGTATACTGTCTCTATGTCCAATGATCACAATTTTGTTGTCAAGTTCATTGAAATGGATTAAACTTCACCGTGTTTGTGGAACAAAACAGACACTCACTCTCACAATGCTAACATTTGGGAAGCTTCCTACACTGTTATGTTACAGAAATTCGCACAACTCATCTTTTCACTCTTTGAGCTACGAACTGAACACTGGGCTACTACAATTAGAACAGTGAGAACTGAACAGATTCTGTAAATCTAAACTTTCTTCCAAATGTGAATGGAAACTGAAACAACTGGGGACTGATATGACTTTCGAGAAGGACCTTTTATTGTAAATGATGATTAGTTGAAAGAAAAAAGTAATTGAATTTTATGATGTTTTTTTCTGGGATAAAAATTCAGATTTATTAGGATTTAAGTTTATTCTAATGTTATCAGAATTTTTTTTGTTGAGGTAGCTGTTTTTCCATTTTTTTTTTATATCTTAATACTGTGATATTCTTTTGTTTTCTTAAGATGAAAGTTTTGTATTATACTTATCACTAATAGGATTTTGTAGAAATAAAAGCTCTGAATGGAGTTTTTGTTTATTAAATATTATGTTTGTTAATATTACAAAAATTATTTGTAGCTCAAACTAGCTAAATTTAACTTGTATTTTTTCTTTGTGTAATAAATTATATCTTTATTGAAAAATCTTTTATCTAAATACATTAATTATTTATCATTCAAGATTTGTATTTTATATTGCATCGTGTTTGTATTTTACCTTAAGGCTGGTATGAATAACTATTTTCAAAAGGAAGGAGATGGTCCAGGATGGCGGTCAAAAATAGTGGTAAAACTATTTTATTAAAAGCCAACGTTTCGACCCGACATTGCAGGTCTTCTTCAGGGAAGTGTGGTCAGCTAGGAGTTTCACTTAAAACAATCTAACTTCACTTAAAACTCAGTTTTAAGTGAAACTCCTAGCTGAACACACCTCCCTGAAGAAGATCTGCAAATTTGGGTCGAAATGTTGGCTTTTAATGAAATAGTTTTACCACTATTTAGCCTATTTATGACCACCACTCCAGACCATCTCCTTCCTTTATAATGCAACGGTCAACTATTGAATATTCAAAATAACTTTTTTCATTTGTTTTGTAAAATCTTAATTTTCTTTGAATATGATTGTTCTTGTTTGAGGTGCTATAACAATAGTCCTTACTTACCTACCTGTAAACACAAGTTCACTGATGATCCTGATAAATATTTCCAAAGAGATAAACATAAAACATAGGATGGAAATAGAAGCACAGTTAAGGTTATTCAGCTCCTGAAGGCATGGAGTAATATTTCTTGTTAATTTTTTCAATTATAATTAGAATGGTTCTCAAAAGAGTTGTCAAATTTCATCTTTATTCATCTGGGTGAAGATATGAGGTTGTGATAATTTAAGTCTGAGGAGTGCTTAGAGTTTCAGTTAGTTCCAGAATGTAATATCATCCAAAATTTAATTTTGTAGCATTCTAGAATAAAGAAATAGGTGATATTTTCTAAACAGCTAAGTTGTCAGGATATTACGACTATATATTTATGAAATAGTTAATGCCCCCTTTTTTTAGTGATATAATCCCTTGGTTATAATTCTTAAAATTGCTACAATTACAATAAAATAAAATATACTATATTGAATATATACATGTAAATAATATATCTGTATAAATATACAGATCATTGATCAAGAAACATTACTTCCTAGTACTTAAATCTAAGATCCTTCATAGATTGTTATGGTATGGTTTTTGTTTATTTAATTCAATTATAGGGCGAACTTGATCAATATAGTAAAAAATTCTGTACGAATATGATCAAACAATGTATTACAAATGCTGTAGATTTTTTGAACATTTTTTTTCCGAATAGAATAGATTTCATTTGACAAAAAATAACAATTTGGACTAATCAGATGGCATCGATGTCTGTGAATAACATATGAAGTTTATAACAATAAAATTTGGTATTATAAATTGTAATAAGCCATTGTTAATAACTATTCTTCTATTATTTTATTGAGTTGATTTCTTTAAGTAGTATTTATTTAACTTGTAGAGTAAAAAGTGAGTGAGAGACTGGAATTCTAATTCTTGATTCAAACCTCTGCTATGGAATTATATTTTCTGCTCTATCAGTTGTTGGTCGTTCATGAGGTCAAAATCCCTCTCGGGGTACATTTAATCTCTCCTATGTCCTGATTCTTCATTGCATTAGAGTAAACATTGGCAGTTCAGTATGATTCTTGTATGATCATAACTTAATTATTGGTTATGTAAATAATAGTTCCTTATTAAATATGGAAAGCCAGTAGCAGATTCAGAATTCAATTTTGGAAGTGATGCTACATGTTTTATTTAATGTTAATTTCAGAAACAATAATGCTTTTAGGAACAGAATGTTTATATTTTTATTTGACATGGCATTACTTTGGAGGTAATGTGCATGCATTATAATTTAAAAAGAGAACATATAGTGATTGTTTAAGTATTTGGCTCAGATCATTCATAGAAAAAAATATGGTCCGATGAAAAAAATATATTTTCCCTTATTTTTTGGGAGAGGGCTCTCTACTAGGAGAGATGTCTCTTCGAATCCATTAGTTTGGAATCTGAGACTCTTCAAGGGTTTCAATATTTAAAGTTCTTCTTTTATTTAACTCATTTCTTTGCAGAATTGAATTGAAATAATCGAGGATTAATTACTTTATTGTTTGAAATATTGAAATTAGAAATTTATGCACCATCGGTTTCTGTTCCTTCCATAATGCAAACAAATGAATATGTAAAATATGAAAAAAAAATATAAATATATATGTGGTTATATTGACTTCATTGATGCACAAAATAGTTTTGTTATTAATAGTTCTTACGGCTCATGAATTCAAAGGTGTGTTTAGACATTTAACATGGGAGGAACAACCATATAAATTTTTATTTCACTATGATAGTAATTTTGATATTTTTCATCTGCATTCGGTACCAAGAGAAATAAAATAAATAGTTTGGTGTAGCAATAATGTCACTGTTAGTTAAGTTATATACCTAATTGTGTTTACCATAGTTTGTGAAATGTCTAAACGCAGCTTAAAGGATTCAATTATAGATTTGATTACTTCTTTAAAAATCTTTAATATAAGTCTTCTTAAAAATTTAAGAATCTGAATTTCATAAAATATATTTTCTTCTATTTGAATTAATAAAGTTAAAATTCATATGTAGATATTATATACAATATTTCAAAAATATCTGTTTGAATATTAAACTTCTTGGTTTGAGAAAAATATAAATAAATTGTTCTTATTACAATTAGAAGATAAAAAAAATATTTATTTATGTGTTTGGAAAAGACAATGGTAACATAAAATTGTTTAATTAAAAATATTTTGTGTCGTTTAGGTGGTATAGCTGGGAGAAATGTCCGCTCTGTTCTAGAAATGTTCTAGATAAAACTAAGGCTTTTGGTTAAAATTTATAACTATTGTAAAATTTCGTTATTTAAAACTTTTGTAAAATGTGTTCGTGAGTGGCGTATTTTCGATATTACGGTTTTAAATCGGGTGTGTGTTCAGTTATAAATTCATCATATCAGTGCCGTTCTTTTCTCATACTCCCAATTTTTTTTTAAGCTTTCTCCATTGGTGATAATGGCTAATTCCCTAACACAGGTTAGATGTAATTTATTTTTAATACGAAATTATTGTTTTTCTTTAGTTTAATTTCTTTCTTTAACATTTATTTGATAAAGTTTATTTCATTTTTATTAGTTTTAAGAAATTAGTACGTACTTTTATCGTATGTTATTATTTGAATTGTTATTTTTTATAATATTTTTAATTCATGGATTTTCTAGATTTTAGAAAACTCATAGCCTAAAAACTAAAAAAAAAAAAACTCATTGGTTTTCAAATAGATAACATTAATTTTAATATGGTTTTCCAGTTCCCAGGTCCAGTGGTTTGTTTCTCTCGTTCCTGTGACATGTTTCAACCAGTTTCAACCATGTTACAGGTTACTCATTATATATAATTTAAAATAGATAGATAAGTTTTCTTTTTATATTTTGGGTCTTTACTCCAATGGAATGTTTGTCTGTAATTTTAAATAATGTAATTATTTAGATAAGGACCGTACGGGTTACGCGTGGTTCACAATCACTTCCGTCACACTTGTTCATGAAGTACGAATGGATCCAGGTTTATGGGAGTCTGTTTTCGGCGTTACATGAACAAGTGTGACCGAAGTAATTGTGAACCACATGTAAACCCGTGCGGTCCTCATCTAAATAATTACTCTAAAAAAAAAAATGGTTTCCATATCAGTGGAAACCAATTACTAAAATAAATTAAAAATGTCCTTAAAAAATTGATATTTACGTTAAACAGGTTTTTAAAAGTAATGGGCAGGTTTCTAAACA